GAGAATAAAATTGAGTTAGATCTCAGGGAGATGAGCTGCGAGGATCAGAGGCAGATAGAACTGAATCAGAACCTCGGCCATTGCCGAATGTTGTTATTGACGGAGTTGTTGACTTCCCATTCTGCTACCAGAGCTTAATCTGCATTTGTAATAACTTGTGATTGGACGCTTAAGCACAGTGCCAGCGTTGTACTCTTTACCTAAGTAATAATCATACCAACAACAACAATACAAGAATTTACCGTCCAATGTAACATGTGTAACGCTTACTGTTTACGGGCTTGTTTGACTTCGTCGCCGCTGGTTGTGGCACAGCGAGGAGCAGACGCCAGAGCCCATCCCTACAGTTTGTTTGGGTGTGCTTTTGTTTACTCGCGTAATGCAGGTTGTGCATTTGGATAGACGAGAGTTTGTCCCCGCTGGCTGACGGGACACAGAAGCTTGACCCTTATTTGGTTTGGATTATCTGCTTTCTCTGTTGTGATTGCATTGAAGCGATATTTTTGTTCTCAGTTATCCTTCATAATGATGTGAAATACATAAATCAGGTATTGATATTTTCCCAGGAATGTTATGACCCCATTTTCTTTTTTGATGCACCAGTAGTAGGCCTAATGTTTCGTAATTTTGTGGAATGCGCGTATTTACTTTTAGAGCTCACTGTCATTGCTTGATCATATGGATGCAGTACAGTATTTTAAAATTGTATTTTTATTGTCACATTATTCATGAAGTTTCTTATAATTTCGTCAGTTATATCTTTATAAAAAGACTGGTTAAACTGCTTATTTTTTCGGTTAATTCTGTTTTACTTTGGAATGAATGGAGATTTTCATTTTTGGTACAGACTTTGTATCCATTTAATTGGATAGTATGCTTAGCCTCTGTTTTATAAAATATTCCATGAAATTGTCTGCTTTACCAAAAGCCTTCTCTACCAAAAGCCATCTCAGAATCGACACGAAGTAACAATATGAAATCAAATTAAATTTTATACTTTTTTAAAATTTATTTTAAGTACGTTGTTGAAATAACAGTACCGAATATATGGCGTGTAAGTAGCTTATAGCAGAATTTAAATCAGCTGGGAAAACAGATGAGGTCGTGGGGGACTGTGAAATCCTGATATGTTTAGAAAATGCGAATCGATCATGCGGTTAAAATATTATTGGTCTCGTATTTTTTAAAAAATACAGAATGTATAAAACAACAAAGGATTTCCCCCGCCCCTCCCCATGTTGTATTGCGTGATCCAGGTAAACATAAGAATTTTCTTGGTCTGAAGAAGTGACTTGAAGTCGTAAGTGAGCATTTTACTTCGTAAACCGCCATTTGTCACAGAATGATAGTCATTGCTTTCGGACTTGTCTATCTGAAGCTATGGGACGTGGGACTGTGGAAATAGCCCGAGTGTTGACTTGTCGTCTGTGTCTGTCGTCCTACCCACACAGCTTGTTCAGACCAAACGTAATGCACCATAAGGAATGTGTTTCCGGGATGCCAGTGACGTAGGCGGGTATATTTGCCTCAACCCTGGGACTATGAAACAGACTTTTCTCACGGGAATTACACTTTTGTTGTTATTTTTCTTCCCTTGTGTATTTCATAAGACAACTTTCTTGTAAATATATTTTAAGTACTCTGTGGCTGATGGCATATTACTATCCTAGCTGTGCACTGTTTTGTATTGACATGACCCATAATTCTGCTATATTTTTTCCGGAACTCATGGCTTTTTAGCCCCCAGAGTATTTTATTGTCTCGCCTTTCTGGATTTTTAGGTGTAACTGCTGCTGATTCTGATGCTGGAAGCTACGAGAAATGGACTTCACACATTCATCGTGCTGTAGTGTAAATTTTATTTGGATACGGTGATCAACACTGCAAGTATAAAGACTTTGAAAAGAGAACCCCCTTTTAGCGAAACTTTGTACTTTGAAGTGATAAAAAAATCAGAGACTGGAATTTTCTAAGCTCAAATCATTGAACAACCGCCCAATATACTACAGAAACTGCTTAAACTACTAATCAGAAAAACCTGTTTGTATCATGAACACCTTTCGAGATATCGTTGTAGAAATCTTGATGGAAGATAATTGCGTACATACGTAGCTCACATAGATTTAAGGTCTTTTATGGAAACTTGTATTTTGTACTTAGTAAATGTTCATAAACATTTTATAATTTTTGTGTTTAATTGCATTTGTTATGGTTGACTTTGCTTTAAGTTACCACTGTTAATGATGTAGGCGTACGTGGCAGATGTACTTGTTCATTCTTATGGTTCACTACATTACGCTATACTTCCAGTTACAAATTGTGTACCGTTGTAATTTATCTTAACACAGTAGCTCTCCACACGGCTACTTTGATGAAATAATCTGTTTTTCCACACCGTCACGTGATGGACTAGATTTGCTGGCTCTTCTCTACTGTCTGACCCCATTTCAGATCATGACGTGTTTCCTGGTAGAATTAACGAAAAGCTGACATCCAACCCATTTGCTAACTCACACCTGCAGTCCCGATATTGCCTTGACCTCATTTCTGTCGCCTACGCCAAACCCTTTGGCGACCCACCGTTTGAGAAATTCTCTGCTAGCACTTGACGTAATGGCGTGCCCCAGACCCTGCTCATATCTTTTCCTGGAGGTGATTTTTTACGTTCATTTTGACCTCATAAAACTGGGAAGCTATTAATTGACAGTAATAGCGTCTCATTTTGCTCTTTTGACGTTTCAAATGAAATCCGATTTGCTGCTTTGATTATCCAGTATTCCTATGACCTTTCCAACGTTTAAAGAACAATGTACGTCTTACGCCCTTTTACTTCCAGCAGCGTTACCTGTATGAAATAAAATTTTCCATTCCTGTTTTCTCACACTTGATATAATGTGAATGAAGATGGCTGTCTACTGGGTTGTAGTGCTGTGTATTCTGATAGAAGTATATCACGTTTCAAAGGTCCTTGCTGCTTCTTATCAACTGGACTTCTGAAACGTTGGTAAACTTCTATCAGACTACACGGTGTTAAAACTCATAAGACAGCAATGTTCGTACTCAGGCGTGAGAACCTCAAATGTCAATAAGTGGAGAGAAAATTCTTTGAGCAGTATATGTCTTAATATTAATGACGATGTAGCTTAAGAAATTGTATTAATGCCGCAGATACATGAAACGTGGATGACATGTAATTACGTATCTTGGTTAACGATAACTTACTTGTTTCCATGACAGCTGTAAATTATTCCTTGTTTAGTTTTTCGTTTAGATTGTCATTGCTGTGCTTGCTAAACGTAACGTCAGTGTTGCAATGTCTTATCTCACAAGTCTGCCATGCTCCAAAAGAGTGCTAAGAATATTATTTTTCCAGTGTTATCGTGGTGATACGAAGTGTGCGTTGCTAGAGAAAAGCTAATTATAATTTTGTGAAACGGAAAAGTGGACACATTCGTAAAAGGATGGAGTGACAGATTGTTTTGCAATGTGTTTAACTGCATTAAATTCAGATTTACTGAGAAAACGTATGTATGATTGTGAATGAAACTGTCAGCTGCAGGTATTTTGAGAACATAAGTCTTCATGAAAGGGATAATGTGCCTGGAGTAAATTGTGTAGGCTAGTTAAAAATGTCCATTTATTCGATCCATCTTAATGTAATTCATTGATGTCATCGACAGGGTTTCCTAACCAAGATATCTATTTTATTTATTGTTCCATACGTGCTTGCTAATTACCCTGCTCGTGTGTCTTATTCAAAATTCTAGTGGCGTGATACGGAGGATATAAAATTTGGGGATCTTGGTGCAGCTTTGTCAGTATTCGTGTTTGTTATTCCCCGTATATCTTAATGTTCTCCTCGAAATTTCGCTTGTAACGAGTTTTA